GATTTGCAGTTATTCTGCAAATGGAGGTCTGGGGCATTACCTTGTCCTTGATATCACTTGCTGTCTTTCTCAGGCATGTCACAGTTTTGTGGGTTTTGGTGCTCACACATGAGTAGGGTGAGTGTTTTTTGTATTCAGTAGCTGTACTGTGGCCCCTTCTGTGCTGATTGCAGGATGATTTGCAATTGCAGTCGACCAGCTGCAGCAGTCTTGGTGGACTAGTCCCAAGCCTGTGTTCACGCTGTTGTGGAATCCATGTAAGTTACTGCTGTGCATTACTTTTGGACATGCAGTGAAGAAGGAAAGACAGCTTCTCTCAGAAACTGTAGGAATGGGTGTAATACTGTGGCATGTTCTTCTCTGACAATGACTATTGTAATGAAGCAAGTCTTCATCCATATCTTTTAGAAAAATTTACAGTTGTGTGATGAAGAGATCCTAATTTTTGATCTGCAGGGTGGCTTCAGTGCCAAACTGGAGGGAAGAATGCCTCTTCTGGAGAGGGGGCATTAATTTCTCAGGAAGCCAGTCTCTACTTACGCTGGGAGTTGATGGGATCATGGCTCAAAGTGATAAGGCAAGCCCCAAACAGGCTGTGATATAATGTCCTGCTTGCAGCAAAGCTCTAAAGACTCACAGCTTGCTGTGAGTGGGGTTCATGTGCTTGACGTGCTTTGTTCAGAAGCAAGATGTCTTTAATGTGAAGGGGTGAGGAGAAATGGTGATTATTGAGGCAAGAGAGTGAATGACACCCCTTATGCAAAGAGATTTGGGAATTCAGTGGAGCAGGTAGAGGAATTTGCTGGCTGAGAAAACAGGAGCCCTGGCTGTTACTTCTCCCTGGCCTCCCTCATTAGGACTTTCCAAAGTAGAGAATCAGACTCTTGCTTTACTTCTTTTGCTTTTTGCTTTTTGTAGTTTGAGACTGTCCCAGGGATTATTGCTGGTGTTATTATTGTCTGTTTCATAAAAAAAATATACAAAGGGAGTTTCTTAAAAATCTCTGTGAATCAGCAGACTGCTGATGCTAAAGAAGTTTTGCATCTGTAGCAGGAGCTTACTGCCACAGGTGTGTGTGGAGCACCTGGTGCTTTGTTTTTTCCACAGGACATCAAGAATGATCAGTGATGCTTCAGCCCTGTCTGTTACTTCTCCCTGGAGTCCCTCATTAGGACTTTCAAAAGTAGAGAATCAGACTCTTGCTTTACTTCTTTTGCTTTTTGTAGTTTGAGACTTTCCCAGGGATTATTGCTGATGTTATTATTGTCTGTTTCATAAAAAAAATATACAAAGGGAGTTTCTTAAAAATCTCTGTGAATCAGCAGACTGCTGATGCTAAAGAAGTTTTGCATCTGTAGCAGGAGCTTACTGCCACAGGTGTGTGTGGAGCACCTGGTGCTTTGTTTTTTCCACAGGACATCAAGAATGATCAGTGATGCTTCTGATGCAGGTAAAATGCTGTTAGTACCAGAAGCAGACAAAAGTAATTTCTTGGTTTCTCAGCAGACTGTAATGACTGTATTATTGGGTTGTTGTAACAAAGGAAAGTGACATTTGTTTTCCTGAATGCTAACCAAGCTAGTTCATAATTGCATTTATCAGTTGATTTAGTTTGAAGGGAACAGTTTTTAAGGAAACTTGTTTTTCAGTGGTCCAGATCTTTCTCAGCTTCCATTGAAATCATGGGAAGGGAGTACAAAAGTCTTTCTTTTGATTTCAACTACTCAATAGCATGACTTAAAAATATATTCAAACTTAGTCTTGAAGCTGATTAGTTTGGGGACACTAGCTGGTGGAGGAAAGGAGGAACTGAGATAATGAAGGGAGAAGTTACAGCTAAGCTAGTAAACAGTGCAAGATACATGGGCAGACTCAGAGCTGTAAATAGCAATAATCCAGAATTATATCTGCCTGGTTTGAACGCAAGCATTCTTTTCAGGATTAGTACAACAGTAAAAGTGAAATGTGAAAGGTACTGCAGGAAAGGAAGTGTTAGTTCCTCTCCCTTAAGCTCTCTTGATTAGATTTGTTTGTCAAGTTAACAAATGCATGTGAAGTGCATGAGGCTTGATAACATCTCTTAAATACTGCTGTTAACAAAGTACTGATTAAGCTGCAGTAAACTAAAATGAAATGCAGATGCAGGATCCTCTTTTTGAAAATGCACATCTGTCATCTCTAGAAGAGCATTACGTAAGATACATTAGTAGGGGAAGAGTCTGAACAAGCTCAAAATGAAATAAATAAAAGCTTCAAACTGGAGCCAACACAAGCTGATAGGATTGGAAATAATTGCAATTATGGAAAATGTAGTGTAGAGAAAGTAGACATCAGCTATATCCATCTGAAATGTCCAAGTAGCCAGGAAAAGTTAAGATGCACACAGGAATTTACTAAAGTCACTGCATGAGGGCTTCTGTTACCTACAGAGGAATGACAAAAAGACAAAACCAAAGGAGTTTTTTAAATGGAGCTTTGATATTTCACATCAAGATGTCCAGCAGAAAAATATTCCAAATCTGCATTAATAGATTGTTTCAAGTCTTATTATGAGCAAGTAAGACAGCTGAGGAAGATGTTACACTATCTAGCAGCAGATTTCTTCAGGGAGTTTCCATTCCTTCTTGTGTTGCGTCAGGCTTTGTGCTGCATAGAGGGGAAGTGTCAGAAGACCAGACTGCATGGCAGCAATCCACAAAGTCTCGGAGCAGAATTTTCAGCCTGCATCTGGAAGACCCTGCAGTCTACAGATGAATTTGTCCCATGGCAGGATTGTCACAGCAGTGGATTGTACTTCAGTGCCTACATTATGTGGACATCAGTGATCTGTTGCTTTATTTTTAACCCGTCCACCCTGCAACAGATTGTCAGAGCACTGACATAGGTGATGCTGCTCACTATCACTACTGTGGGCTAAGGCTGTTGTAGAGAAGTTAAGAAACCGTGGGGCAGACCAGAACAACTCACAGGTGAAATTTTTTCCAATTTCCTTCTGTTAGTGACTATCATCTTCCTTCTGCCACAGGTTCCAGGGCATATCTTTCATGCATGTAAAGACATATTATTTTAATCCAGAATACCTATTGTACTTTAAACAGGAAAGCAACTGACCTATTTGACTGGTGCATTTTTACCCCTTCTGAGTAATACAAAGCATTTGTACACACATGCATCCTCGAGATGCATTTCTTTTGGTAAGGCCTGTGTACATGTGCAGCCAGTGCCACTACAGCTCCTGAGCTTCTGTTGAAGTTTTCCAGTGTACCCTGTGTAGCAAGGGTATATGGTGGACTTTCTGAAGTATAAATGACCTAAGAGAATCTGTTTGTAGACTCTGGTAGGTACCAAACCACAGACATCAAATCCTGATTTGTGCTTACTTGCCCCATTCCAGCTGTGAATCTTTGTTAAAGAGTAGTTTAGCCTTTTATGTTGGAATATGTAATGGGCAGAGGGCTGCAGTAGGGGACAGGTGAGGAAAGACTTCCATCTGCATTCTTCAAGGCACTTGACACTCTTAACAATCCGCAAGTTACAGATCATTTCGTTCATCTCACAATCTTGCTTGTCACTTGGGAAACTGAGGTCTTGACAGGGTGGATGATTAAAGCAGGAATTCCAAGTGGTTTCCACCTACTTCAGTTATTCTGAGGTTTCCTGTTGTTGTCCCTTCTCTTTGCTGAGGGATACATCTGGTGCAGGTAGTTCAGTTTGCAAGATGCAGATTGAGCTCTGGGTGGGGGCCAGAGACAAGAAGCCATGAATTTCCAGCCTCTTGGACATCAAAGGGCGGGAAGATGAATGGTGCCAGTGAGGTAGGTGGATGGACACAGGCAGACACAGCAGGAGCAGGGGACTCTGGATGAAGAGTGAGATTTGTGTGCAGGTAGACTGTGGGATGGGATGGGATGGGATGGGATGGGATGGGATGGGATGGGATGGGATAAAAGCCCAGGGTGCCCTTTGTTGGAGTACTCCTTGGAGGCACCAGCTCAGGCTGTTTGTGTTCCTGCACTGTGAATAAATGGTTTTGTGGAACAAGACATCTGAGATGCTGCCATGGGGAAACCTGGGGGACAAACCAGTAGGGAAACCTGGTCTGACTGTGTGAGTGGGGTGTGCAGGGAGTCAAGCAGGGGTCTCGTGGGCTCACAGGAGCCTCCTGCTTTGAAGAGGCTTCAGTCCCAGCAGTGGAAGTCTCTGGTGTTGGAAGTGCCACTGCCAGAGTCATGGGAATGGTCAGACTGGAAGGTTTCCTTAACACCAAGTACTTCCTGCTGATAACCCAGAAGAACGTAATTTTCTGCTTCTGTCAGATGTACTGTTCAAGGGAATGCCCCAGCCACCAGGCCCTAGTCATGTCCATGCTTTTCCTTCCTTTTGTACTTCTCAGCTACCTTGAGAGACTGTCCTGTGTTCTCTGAATCTGGCTGATTTTGCTGCAGCTTTGTGGTTCCAGCAATGTAATGAGGGCCTAGGTGATGTGGTTCCAGGTGTCTGCAGGCATTTTTAGTTACTGTTTTGCCTCTCCTGCAGAAAGCAAAATAGGACTACCTGAGTGGGTGAAATCTTAGCTTTACTGAACAAAAATTGTCTGGGAGATCTGCAGCCAGGATTTTTACTTTTGTCTTTTGAAATGGCATTTGTTTTGAAGACTCTCTGCAATGGGGGTATGGCTGGAGTCCATCTTTTAGGAACCAGTGTAGCTATAGATAAGAGTAACAGCTGAGCTTCAAGCTGTCCTCTGTCTTGGCATTCTCATGTGCCCCAGGCAGCTTTGCAGGAAGTTATGAACCAAATAAAACACAGGGAAGGAGGAAGCTGAGCCCCTACTTGCCACCTCCTGGGCAAGTATGCTCTGCCATTGAATGGAGATGCTGTAGTAATGAGGAATTTGCATTCTGTGTGAGGTATGGCCTAAACACCTGACTGGAATCCTGAACAGAAGGGGCTGTCTAGGAGCAGTCTCATTGCCTTAGCACTTCTTCCTTTTTTGGCAGGCCCCCAATTTGATGTGCTTCAAGTTTGGATCCTTCTTTGCAGGTGCCCAATTCCTCACCTTTGAATCAGGTAGGACATGGAATTAATTTAGCTGTGAGATATCCTGTGGAACTTGTCATAACTTGCTTTGTGTTGGCTTTGAGTGGCATTGCTTTTCTGGCATGCTTGTCTGTTTGTACTCAGTACTGCAGATGGTCTGTTCATTCATGTAACTTTATCCTTTAATTAGCACTGTGGAGTTAAAGTGCTTTAGGTTGATACAGACAGAATTTGAGTTGTGTGCATTATTAGGGACCCAGCAGATTGGGGATGCGACAGGGTGGCATCTGGGTTTAGTTTACAGCTTCTCTAAGCCACCCTTGAACAAAGGCAGGCTTTATTAGAGTGTCTGCCAGGCTTCTTTACCAGAGGAGGGCTGTTTCACATCATCTTTGAATACACAGTTGGATTATATCTGCTGTTTGAACTCTTTCAAAGAATTCTAACACATGCTGTCCTTGAAATACCTGCAGAAATACTGGTTTGACTTGTTTGCCATCATCAGAGAGGGTTAACTGTGTTTTCCAATAATTTTTCTTGTTTTCTTTATAGTCATAACTTGTCCTTGCCTGCAAGCCCATAACCCTTTTTGAGGGGAGACACAGAGCAGAACTCCTTCACTTTTGCTCCGTTATCGCAGGCAATAGTACAGAATATATTACCTGGCATATTTTCATTGAAGCTTAATGTTCTCTGGATTTCCTTTCTCTGTTTTCTTGGGAAAATACCTTCCCTTCCTGCTTTGTTTATTGTGGTTTGATAATCCCATCTCGGCTCATGTTTATATTCCCTCTGGCTTGGCTCTTTTAGAGGATGTAACTAAGCAGGTGTGGGGAGGATCTGAGGAGGTTCTGTGCTTTCTCTTTGTGCTGGGATTCAATAATGCTGGTAAATCTCATGTTTGCATTTGTCCTCCAGTACGGAAGTGTCCTTGTTGCTAGTTTTATGCACACTGATATATTTTACTTTTAAAGTAAGTGATGCCTGAAAGTTACGGAGGCGTTGCCTTTAAAGCTCTCATGCGTGCTTTATGATGCTGTCTTGGCCTCTGTGGGAGTAATACAAATCCTGCCCACGTGTCAGTAAAGCTCTTGAACTTGGCTGAGCGCTCGAACGGGCAAACAGCATCATGCAGCAGATGGAGTGTGTGATTGGGATGCAGCAGGCCTTGCTTACATTTTTGGTTTTGTTCATGACTTTCTCTACAACCTTTGGTAATTCTTTCCCCTCGGTGAAAAGAGGATAGGGAACTGTCGTTGTTCATATAAAGTGCCTTGGAACTTAATTTTTTTTTCTATTGTGTAATCAAAACCAGTCAAAATAGTTGATCCTGTTTTCATTTTACACAACTGCAGTATTCCTGTGGAGTCTAGTGGAAATAAGCCAGGCTTTTTAGGTTTTTGATTACACTAAATATGCTGAGTAGTCTGGTTCTATCTTTAAAACTTCCAATTAAATATTACATAAAAAATGTGTGCAGTATAAATTAAGGGTATACACCAAGTGCTAAGCTATACTACTTCCAAATTACTAAACAACATAATACATAGAGAATTTATCTAGTCTGTTTTCTGCTTTTTCAGATTCAGAACCAGACAAAAAAAAAGTTGGTATGTTATGGAAACAGAACAGTGCATCATTCAGTTGCCCTGTTTAATATAGTCCCTGCTGTGTTAATTCCTTTCTAATCTGTTCTTTAAACACAATTGATTGTGTCTCATATATGGCAAATTACATTCCAAATAAACACTCCATGATATTACATGTTTTGAAAAGCTTTTTATTTATTGTAACTTCACTAATCTAATAAAAGGTATGGTTAATTATGTCTGCCTTTCAGGTTAGCATTGCCAATTTTGGCTAATTTATGTCTATGACTATCTTTCCTATGTGTAATGCTTCCCTATTACATTAGTAGAAGAAGGATAAAGTGTGTGTAGTCCATCCAGTGAATTCACAATCCCTAGTGAGGGATTTTGATTATATTAATCTCTAATAGTCTTAGGAAAGGAACAGCTCATGTGATACATCTTTCAACTGGTACAGGTTTATATGAATGACAAGAGCCAAATGCAGGCTGTTTTCTGTTTTTGGCCAAAACTGCAGCATTCAGGTTTTTTTAGGATGACTCCTGAGGCAATTTGATCCAGTATGGGGGGCTGGCAGTTCAGGAAACTTACTGGTGTGAGCTTTGTTCCCTGCACCTCCAGGCAGTGCGCTCAGCTTGGAGAGCTGCACTTCTCTCTCCCTATCCAAGCAAACTCAAGCATGATCCCTGCCCTCTAGATCTGCTCTTAGAATGCTTTCAGAACTGGTTGAGCATTTATTTGTTCATTTTGCATTAATTGTGCTCTGATCTGTCTAGTTAAAATTTTTTAGATTTTCTGTGTCTCTTTTCACCCAGCAAGAGCACCAGAATCCAGAGAAAATAAGACATATGTCTTGGTCCAGTGGATGGCATAGCTTTGGTTTAGAAATTACTGCATTTCAAGCTACTTTAACATCATCTAATATTTTTATTTTTTAGTTGCAAGGCCTTACAATGGCACAGAATGAGCACTGCGTTCAAGCCTCCTTCCTGTAAATGATAGGACCAAACAAGGCGGTGTGATGAACATGCCACTGCATCAAATCTCTGTCATTCCAGCTCAGGATGTTACCTCTTCCAGAGTCTCCAGGAGCAAGACCAAAGAAAAAGAAGAACAGGTACTGTCAGATATGCTTGATTTTCACTGGAAGTTATCTAAGTCTAAAATGATAGGGGTTACCAAATCAGACCTGATTCGATTCCAAAGCCCCAACTCCTTGCATTACTGCTCCTTTTAGTGAGGACAAATGCTACCAAATTATCTTCTTATTTTTGTGTTTGCTATTTTAAAGCAGCTGGCTGCAAAATTCTACAGATTGTTGTTGAGTAACTTCTGCAAAATGCAAGTTACAGCCCTCTATTTTGCATAAGAATTCAAGGCAGATAGGGATTTGGATGATAGTTCTAATGCAATTATTGTAGAAGCTGTTACAGGTGTATTTAAAGAAAAATTATATGGAATGTGAACTCCTATATGCAGCCATACATCCTGTTTTTCTTTGCTTTTGGTAGCATGTAGTAGCTGTGCTGTATTTCAAAGTGACTAGAATATCACAAGGAAGGCTGTATACACCCATATGTATACATATTGTACTGGTTTATGCAATATGATTTGCATTCTTAATTTGGGAGTGTGCGTGTGAGTGGAATCAAGCTGAGGTCTTGCTTTGGTGCTAATGCAAAAATATCTGTGGTATCTACTGATTATGAGTCCAGTAAAATCCAATCAATACACCACTTAACAGTTTGTAATATCATGTGAAGAAGACTAGACTATGTCTGGTCTTCACATGTCAACCTTACTTATCTGGGCTGTGTCTGATCCAGCTCAAAAACCTTAATGTGCATCATGCTTTAGTGTACACTGTACTGCATTGATCTTATATTATCTGTCAGTTCCACAGAAACATCTTTGTGGTTTTGTAGCTTTAACACAAAATGACTTCAGGAGAACATTCACAGTATGGCACAGCTGCAGGGCTTGCTTTGTGGACTACTCAGCAGTGGTTAACTCTGAGGAGACCTAGAGTGGTGCTGGTTACAGACAGTGTTGGTGAATCTCTTTCTGTAACATGACAGTGTCTTTCTAGTCCCTTATATATAAGCTACACCCTAACTTCGAGTAGGGTAAAAGAGTAATTTCTGATGTGTTGGGATAATTTGCCCTGATGACCCATCTCACCAGACAGCTGTCTAGATTGCACCTATCAAAGTCACCAGGAGAAATAAACTGTCCTAATATTGGCTGGTTTGAGTATTTTCCTTAGTAACATCTTAAAATGGATTCTAGCCATTCAGATTCTTAAACCAGTAATTAATTAGGCACTGCTTCTTTTGGTTGCCAGAACTAGGCAAGAAGTTACCATCACAGAGGAGATGCTCTAAATCCATAAAACACACTGTCTCAGGAGTCTGCTGGAATCTGTCACTTCCCCTGTCACATACAGTTACTGTCTGAGCAGCTCCCTGGGTAAGAGGGCTCTTCTGTTTGCTCCCTTTGGTACTCTCCCATAAAGTAACTGTATGTGCTGAGTGAAACAGCTCCTTTGTCAAATGCAGGGCAGTGCTGTGAATTTACTCTGCTCTGGGACAGTGGGTTAGGAGGCAGATCAGAGCAACTTGTGCCTCTAACCCCACAGCGGGCTCAAGTGAGAGTCTCAACTCTTCTTCTGAACATGTTTAATTTCCAACACAGTTACTGGTGTTAACAAAATATCCCCTGTGTTTCCTTCATGATAACTAGCTGCAATGTTGATTATTGTTCCCCTTGCTGGGCTGCTGATATTTTCAGGCCTTGGCATATTAGAAACAGAACAGAATACTTGTTTAAACATGTGCAGTGTTGAAGAGGAAGTGGGACCATGCAAGCAATAGATTAAGCTAACCTGGAAACACTTTGTGTTTCTTAAGTCTTGTCCTTCCTGTCTCCATCAGCATACTCATTCATCCCCATGTGTCCTGCATTCTGCCAAAACTACAGCAGGAGCAGCTGGAGCTCTGGGTGAGCTGTCAGCTGTACTGACACTGTGGCTGCTCCTGTGCACATGAGCCTGGCTCTTATACTCCCTTCCTCACTTGTGCTTCTGGTTTTAACCTTTAATGCTGGATCTTACAATGAGCTGGGGGCAATCAATTTGTTAATGTGCTGACTTTGACCAATCCAGTTAAATTTTCATATTGCGTCAGTTAGGATGGTCAAGGATACATTATAGTCAGAGTCCCTGTTACTCTTGGATGCAGTCAGGACACACTGGGCAAGACTGAGTTTTGCTCCTATGTAAAGAACATAGTAAAGGGGAGATGGGATGCAAGAGAAAAAGAATTTCAAGATTATCCTTGCCATACTTTAAGTCAGATTTTAGCTTCAAAATGTCTGTCTTCTGTTGAGATAGGAGCTCCAAGATAAAGAGCAGTGATGCAGCTGAACATGATCCTGTATTGGGCAAATCTGCTGAGCAGTTGCAGGTAGTTGTGCCCTAGGTAACATCTACTGTACCAGAGATTGATACTAGGTAAAACTGAGAAAAAAGGTGTTCCAGTACAAAGTCAGTGTAACTTCAGTACTTTCATATTTCAGTTGCATAAGCTCCCATTAGACAGCATAGGTCACAGTTATTTCCTTATATTGTAGTGGGTCTAGACACAGTTCTTATGTATGCAAAAACATACAATAGTTTTTGAGAAAAACCTGCAAAATTTCACAGTTTGATTCAAGTACCATGATTTTCTTACCTTTTATTATATAATAAGAATAGGAAATTTCTTATATTTTCTGTGCGGGAACAGTGAGCTACTCAAACACATGTGTACACTGTGGTCTTAAAATATTTTGAGCTGTACAAAGCCACTTGACAATCTGAACAAAATCAAACCACAATTGAAACCAATAGTACTATTTCACAGATAAATGTGTAGGTTTGCTTTGTAGGACAGGCTTCTTAGACTAAGTGCATTTCCAGGTGTGCACTTTATAGATTGAGCAGACTCATGTACATATCTCCCCTGTTTATTAACAAGCTGTGGCTAAAGCCAAGGTGAATAAAGGTAGAGTGTCATCTAGCAGATGAAATTTTGTCTTGTTTTCATTTTTGCTATTTCAAACCAGACCTTTGGCTTGTTGTTACCTACATCCTGCATTGTAAGAATTCCTTTGGAGGAAAGGCTCAAGAAGCACAGCACAGGAAATGAAGGACCAAGGTGCCTAGAGAGAACTTCCACCAGTCTCTGAAAAATCAGTGTCTTTCCTATTTCCCAGAACATGCTTTATATTCTGCTATCTTTTGTGATTATGGATGTGGTTAGTTATCCACATTTCTCATAGAGCTGCAGAGGAAGAATTCTCAATCTGAACAGTACAGATTTCTTATTCTTTCTTCTCTTCTATGCTTCTGGTCAAGATGTAGCTCTTGTATTTCAAGTTAAAGCTTGGTTTTATTTTAGTTTTTCATGCTAGAAGAGGAAATTTTCTGGACTATTGTTTTGTGGCTAAGTGAAGAACAGCAAGAAATCCTTACCAACTTTATCATTACAATCCAGTTTCTCATACTGAGTGATGATGTATAATACCTAGGCGTGCTTCATGGCAGATTAAAATGTAGATTCGACACCTGTGGAAGACTGGCAAAAATCCTATTGAATTTGAAGAAGAGTTAGGAGGAAAGGCTTTTGCCTACCATTTCTGGTCTATGTCCTTAGTGATATATATACATAAGAGCCTGACAGATTCAGGTTAATGTAATTTCAACATTTAAAATAGTTGAAATCTGAGGTTAGCAGCAGTATTTTGTGAAACTTTGTCCATTTCCCCAGTAAAATAAGGAAGGTCATAAAGAGATTATTACTCTTGTGTTTAACTCAGATGAACTGGTAGCTTTAAGGGCTATTAATAACCATCATTAGCTTCTTACTTACCCTTCACTAGGAATAGCTTCATGCTTACCTGATTTAAGGGAGAGTCGCTCTATTGTGTGTGGGAAGCTACAGCCCCCTTCCCCTGTTTGGTGGGCAGGGTACTGGCAGCAATGTTTCCTAGTGCATGCAAAAGCAAACGGCTCTCAGGATTTCATGGGAAACAAGGAAACAATGCAGCATGTGATTGAGGTGGAGTTCTGTGTTTGTTATATCATTGTCTTTTATAGCGCTTTCTGCCTTCCTCACTGAAGCAGACTGATGTCTGCTAAATTTGTTAGTGTTACTGCAGTGAGTGAAGCTCCCTCAGCAATAGCTTTTCACCACTCTTCTAAAAATGTGCAGCATCCATGGCCTCTGGTGCTGTGATCTCTGCAGATCTCATAAGCAGATCAGGGATGGGTGGGATCAGTGCTGGAATGAGAGATCATGAGATGTTGGTGCAAGTACCCGTTGCTTCTCAATAGCCTTAATTTGTGAATCAATACTGAGCTGTTATCAAAGATCACACAGCATTTATCACAGATGCAGATCAATGTACTAGTCAGATTTAAATTTGCTGATTCCAGTTCATCAGCTGAAACTCCCTTCTGCTCACCTCTCTTGTTTTCTAAGTACTGTGTAGTATTACTGGCTGCTACATGCTGTGATTGTCCCTGACATCTCCAGGTATTTCTCAAAGCTGTCATCTGGAACATACTGAGTGCCTAATTTGTCTGGATGAAATTGTGGTGAGAGAAGCATATTGTGATGCATCTTCATTAAGTTCTTCTGCCTTTGTAATGACCTCCTGCATCCTGTAACAGGAAAGGCACTATGGCCTATTGATTCAAATAAGCCATGTCTTACTGGAAAAGCAGGACTTAGAGGAAAAAAGGCAATTGATGCATTTGCAAGAGTTTGTAGTCATAGATCAGTATTCTCAAGGTAAAAGTGTGTGCTTTATGTTGTTGAATCTAGAGTGACACTTTGAGAGCTGTTTTTAAGGTACAGAAACACTCTGTGACTTTCTCCATTCACTTTTTGGACTTTGAGCTGTGAATGTAGTCTCTGAGTGGCTGAATTTGGTCCAGATACTCAGGCTTTGTAAGATTCTGTGTGGGTGTGTTTGGTTTTGCTTGTCCATTAAACTAAATCATTAATTAAGCAGCCAGGTTCTAAATCCTTTGTGAATTTTACCCCCTTTTTTTTTTGTACTGTGATTTGTGTG